GGTTTTTTTCTTTTTGCTTATGTGGTGCTGAGGAATTGAACCCAGGGCCTCATGCATGCAAGGCAAGTGCTCTACCACTGAGCCACCTTCCCAGCCCCTGATGGTTTGTTTACTTTTGATTTGGTCTTTGTCCCCTTTTCTACGATAACTGTATGCATTTACCCAGGAATGGGATATCTTACCTCATTCGCTAAAACATTTTCAAGAAATTTCAACAAATCATTCAGATTTTTTAAATGTGAATTAGAATAATAGGTCTCAACTGAGTTGCCAGAGGCATCCTCGCTACTCAGGAGGTTGAGAACCTGAGGGTCAAGGTTCACAGTCAGCACTCAACGGGAACATAAGCAGCAAAACAAGGCTGGAGGTGTGGCTCAAGAGCTAGAGCTAGTCTAGGCAAACTGGAGGCACTGAATGAATCAAAGCGTTAGTACTGCCACTGCTACTACAGCTACTCATAGGCACAGACGAAGAGAAAAGTGAAATGTAGATATGCACACTGCAATGTCTTTGGTAGTTGTTATAAAAGAGAAAGAACTTGGGCTTTGAGCTTCCTGGCAGCCAAAGCAATAAGGGAAAGTTGGGCTGACTTGTATTCCCCCCCCCCAACTCAGTGTAAACAGAACAGTTTTACAATGTCAGGGAGAGGCCCCTGCTCTGCTTCCCTCCTCACCATGTCATCTGTAATGAAGAAGCTAAGGTAGCCGGCCTGGTAATAAACATGGCTGGCGGTGTTGAAGACATAACTGGAGATGGCAAAGTAGACCATTTTCTCGTGATCCTCGGGAAGGCTCATGACTGGAGCGTGTGCTGCCACCTCAGAGCGATTGTGGAGATTGAAGATTTCACCCTGGAGACAGAAAGGGGATCTGACTGGACTTTTCACAGCCTGTCTCTGGGCTGGACCCTGGGCCCTGAGTCAGGGGCTCTGGCTGGAGCCTCCCAGTGAAATCCATGTTTACTTGGGGCTAGGATGCACCAGCCAGTCCCCCGTGAGCATGCCCCTACTGGCAAGGAGGAGGGGAAGGGTGTGTCATAAAACCTAAGGGTGAGCGGGAGGGGGGGGGAGTGGTGGCTCCTGCCTGTAATCCTAGCTACTCAGGAGGCTGAGATCTGGGGATCACGGTTCAAAGCCAGCCTGGGCAGAAAAGTCCGTAAGATTCTTATCTTCAATGAACCACCAGAAAACTGGAAGTGGCGCTGTGGCTCAAGTGGTAGAGCACATGCCTTGAGCTGAAGAGCTCAGGGACAGTGCCCAGGCCCAGAGTTCAAGCCCCATAACCTAAGACCTAAGGGTGGACGGCTCCCCATAGCTCCATATTGCCCTACCTCTGGCACAGCAGGCATGGCTGGGGAGACAGGGCAGCTGTGAAGTTAGGATGGGTGGCGGGGGGCTTGGGCTGAGCTGAGGCGGCTTGCTGCAAGGCCTCACCTTGAACATCATGTCCAGTGCCTGGGCTGTGGCCTGAGGGGCCTCCACTAGGCTGTAGTCGATGCCCGCGAGGCTGTCAATCTTGGCGGTGACTGTGAAGCAGACAAGGGACAGGATTATGGACCAGGCTCAGCCTAGGTGGATGGAGAAGAGCAGAGGCTTCGGGCTGATTTCTCACACCCAGGGCTTTCCCCACAGCCCTGCCCCACCTGCCCCAGCCCTGGCCCCCAGGCCCAGAAGTCATGATGAGTGAGGGTTCCCTGTCCCCCAGCCTGGGCCTCAGACGAACCAGTACTATATCCGGGATTCTCTCAGACAATCGTCAGGTGCTGTCCTTCCACGCTTTTGGTGGGCATCAAGAGCCAGGGTCCCACTTACAGACAGTTACACTAGAATGGGGTGAGCAAAGATAGCTCACCCCTGTCATCCTGACGACTTGGGAGGTGTAATCAAGAAGATGGAGATTTGAGGCCAGTCTGGCAAAAATTAGTGGGGTCCTCTCTCCCTCACATCTCAATCAATAAAAACTGGGTGCAGTGGTATACTCCTGTTATCCTGGCCAGGACGGGAAGAATAAATGGGAGGCTCACAGTCCAGGATGCACTCAAGCAAAAAAAAGTGAGGTCCTGGGCTGGGAAGGTGGCTCAGTGGTACAGTGCTTGCCTTGCATGCATGAGGCCCTGGGTTTGATTCCTCAGCACCACATAAGCAAAAAGAAAAAAAAAAGCTGGAAGTGGTGTTGTAGCTCAAGTGGTAGAGCGCTAGCCTTGAGCTGAAGAGCTAAGGGACAGCGCCCAGGCCCAGAGTTCAGGCCCCACAACCAGACCCCAAAAAAAGGAAAAAAAAAGTGAGGTCCTATCTAAAAAATAGCAAGAGCAAAATGGGTTAAAGGTATGGCTCAGTGTTAGAGAACCTGAATCCTCAAGCACAGATCTCAGTACTTAAAAAAAAAAGTTTTAAAAATGACTTCATTTGACATATGCTGACCTAGAGGTTTCCCTAAGATTAGAGATTTAAAAAGAAGTGGGTGGCTGGGCATTGGTGGTTCATGCCTGTAATCCTAGCTACTCAGGAGGCTGAGATTTGAGGATCACTGTTTGAAGCCAGCTCAGGCAGGGAAGTCCCTGTGAGACTTTTATCTCCAATTAACCACTAGAAAACCAGAAGTGGCGCTGTGACTCAAAGTGGTAGAGTGCTAGCCTTAGGCAAAAGAACCCAGGGACAGTGCCTAACCCCTTAGTTCAAGTCCCCTGAACAAAAAATATCATGTGTCCTGTGTACACTAAGGGACATGCACCATGATTACTTACATACATATATGATCACAAATAAGAATGTGTACAAGTGCTTATATTCCCATGCTGATACACAAAGAAAATACCTTGAACATCTTAAAAGATATACTCCTAAATAGAAGTCACCTGTGGGAAGAAAAGCAGAGGTGCAAAGGGATTTTAAATTGTTCTTTTCTATACTTCTGTCCCATTTATGTTTGAGAAACAGATGCTCTTATGGAACCAAATGGAAATCAAGAGGCCCAGGGGTGGTTGAAACATCCGTTACCTGGCAGGGTTTGGAGGTAAGGCTGCAGGTCGGAGGCCACTGATTTCTGGACCATTTCACAAATCTGACAAGAAGAGCAAGAAAGAGAGCAGGACTGAGTGAGTTCCTCCACTTTGAGAAACATGATTTCCAAGTCTGCATAGTGATCACAGATTCCCTAAACATCTCCAAGAGCTTGTCATGTGCCAGGCACAAGGAGACAGACAGGATTAAACCACATGTGGATCCTTTGTGGTCTCTGAAAGAACCCAACAGGACAGCTCAGATGTCCCCCAAGGCCTGGGCTGGAGAAGCCCCCCACAAAGATGGTAGGTTGGAGAGGCCACCATCAAAAATGCTTTCTAAATGGTGCCAGTGGCTCACTCCTGTCATACTAGCTACTCAGGAGGCTGAGACCTGAGGATTGAGGTTTGAAGCCAGCCTGAGCAGTAAAGTCAATGAGACTCTTATCTCCATTTTACCAGCAGAAAATCGGAAGTGGAAGTATGGCTCAAGTGGTAGAGCACTACCTTAAAAAAAATTAAAGGACAGTACCCAAGCCCTGAGTTCAAGTCCTGGGACTGACACAAAAATGGAATATTTGCACAATAATATGTTCTGTAGTAGTGTCTCAAAACAGTAATGATCACAGTGTTTTAGGACTGTGATAATTATTACACTTAACTGCAATGTTTTATTATTGTTACATAATACTGTTACTAATCACTGCTATCTCCATCATCCACAGGGGAAATAAAAGGCAGCACATGGGGTACTGGAGCAGGAGGGTGGGTATTTCTCAAGTTGCTTAGATCTGAGAACCCCAGAAGCAGAAAGGAAGCGGGAGGGGGGTGGGTGGGGAAAGAGGGAAATAGAGCAGCGTTTGCTGTTCCAGCTTCTACCACCAGGGGGCGCACAAAGCCAAACCAGAGATTGGCCGGAGAAAGAAGAAGAAAGAGAAAGAGAGAAAGAGAGTTCAACTTTTCACTTTCTCCCTTTCCCACACAGTCGTTGGCATAGACACAGTACCCCGTGTTGGGGGTGAGAGTGCAAAGGAATGGAAGTGAACCGGATACCTCTTTGCGTTAGCCAAAGTGTACAAAGTCTGGACATTTCACAATACTTTTGAACAGGGAAGTCTAACCCTTGGCCCCCCCTTTCCCCCCATACTGGCCAAGCTCTACCTAGGCCCCGCCCCCTCCTGGTCTCAGGGGCAGCTGAGTGATGGCTTCCTTTTGGTCTTAGGGACTCTGGGTAGTGTGGGGATGGTGAGCAAGACTGAGCATGCAGATTGGGGGCTCCTTTCTCCCCTCCCTCTGCTTCTGTTTTACCCATGCCAGGCAGCCAATTCCTTCTGTAACTAGATGGTCATGGAGTCCAGATACCCGAGTGTGGCCCGGAGCTCGGCCATAGACCAGCTCTGTGACCCCGGTGAGTGGTTTGTGCATGACAGACGCATGGAAGGGTCTTGACATCTTCCTCCTCCTCCTCCTCTTCCTCCTCTTCTGTACCAGTACTGGATCTTGAACTCAGGGCCTGGGTACTGTCCCTAAGCTTTTTCACTACTTCTAGCTTTTTTTTTTTTTTTTTTGCTGGTTAATTGGAGATAAGAGAGCCTCACAAATTTTCCTGTTCCAAGCTGGCTTTGAACTGAGATCCTCACATCACAGCTTCCTGAATAGTCGGGATTACAGGTTTGGGCTACCAGTTCCTGGCTAGCCTTGCATTTCTTACCTTGTCCTCCAGCACTTTTCGGAACCTGGACTCGATCTGGTTGTGGAAAAGATTCAGCAGCCACCTGGCAGGAAGCAGAGCATAGCCAAGGAGGACAGTCTGCCACTGGACAGGGAGCTCTGGGGGAGGGCATTCCATCCTGCACCCTGTTGGGCCCAGTGTCCCAGCACAAAGTTCCCTCTGAGCTCAGAGCAGCTGGCTCCCAGCCACCCCTCTCCCCTGTCAAGTTCAATGGAATTGGGGGAGCAGCTGGAGATTCCACATTTTTAAAATAGAGGACGTAGAAACTCTGAGGTGTCGCAACTTGACCACAGCCTTGTTTATTTTTTTTACACGCTCTCCTTCAGCCAAAAGCCAACTTTGATTCATTTGACAAAGGGTCCCTTAAAGTTGACGTATCCTGTGCAAATGGCACACCTACTCTCCTGCTTAAATTTGCCTCTGTTTGTGTGCACAGGGTTCCCAAAGGTGCATGCGTGGAATGCCTCCTATTCCAGAGCTGGTGTTGCAGGGGAGGGGGGCTGCAGGCCCGGGGGTGGGCATGGGCCGCACTGTGGGTCAGGCAGGGGATCTTCCCAATGGCAACTTACCCCAGACCTCCAGATATGTCCACGTCAACGTCATAGATGCGACTGCTGCAGCGGGGGGCAGTGACCGTGGGCCTCCCTGAGGGGTCGGTGCCCAGGAGGAGGTCCACGGAGATGGTGAGGCCCTGGACCAGCAGGTCAAAGGAGCCCTGTAGCTTCCTGGGGGAGGCCAGGTAGGCAGCGTGACCCCTCCATCCTCCCCTCGGCCTCCATGGGGAGAGACCAGAACTCACTCTCATCTCAAAAAATAAAGCTGGGCACCAATGACTCATACCTATAGCCCTAGCTACTCAGGAGGCTGAGATCTGAGGATCAAGGTTCAAAGCCAGCCCAGGTGGGAAAGTCCGTGGGACTCTTATCTCCAATTAACTATCAGAAAACCAGAAAAAGAGCTGTGGCTCAAAGTGGCAGAGCACTAGCCTTGAGCAGAAATCAGCTCAGGGACAGTACCCAGGTCCTGAGTTCAAGCCCTACAACTGAAAAAATAAAAATAAAAACACCCAAGAAAACAAAAAGCAGAGCTAAACAAAGATCTAGGATTAAAGTTCTAGAAGAGAACTCAGGTATTTATGGTCAGGGAGAGGCAGAGCCCAGATTTATAGCTCACCAGTCATACATTCACACAAGTGAACAAAAATTCAATAAGAAAAAAAAACAGCCAGTCGCTAATATATTTAATATATGAACTAATTGCCTTCACAGACAAGGGATACATTGATAAGAAAAGGACAAAAGGACTGCCAAGTTCTAAAAACTAAAGACATGAACAGCAAGTTCAAAGACAAATAAGCCTGTGAAGGATTATCAACAAGGAGAAAACAAAACCGAGTGCCAGTGGCTCACACCTGTAATCCTAGCTACTCAGAAGGTTGAGATCCCGAGGATCACAGTCTGAGGCCAGCCTAGGGAAGAAAAGTCTGTGAGACTCCATCTCCAATTAACCAGCAAGAAATCAGAGCAGGGCAAGGTTAGGTGTGTCACCCAGCGGGTACTGGCATCTCTTGTGCTCTGGGCTGTACTGTGTCCTTCCCCGATTTCTGTGTGGAAGCCCTGAGCCCTGGTACCCAGAATGCAACTGTGTTGAAGAAGTGTCTCAGAATGGAGGTCAGGAGGCTGGGCCCTCACCCAACCCGATCCAGGTCCTTCAGACTTGGGGGCACGCTCACGTTTAGGACCGGAGGAAAGGCAGAGAGGACACAGTGCCATGTGAGTAGTGCCAAGGGCAGGGGGTAGAGGGAGCAAAACCAGGCCCACCCACACCCTGACCACTTTGCTATGAGAATCCCAGCAAGGCTGACAGTGCCGGGTCGGGTCCCCAAGGGCAGACAAAGATGAGGTACCTCAGCTGAGCTCAGTATTCCGGTCTCAGCTGTCTTCCTGTCCCCCTGGTCCCCAACAGCCTTTCCCTCACCAAGCTGATCTTTTGTGGGTATTTTTCCCCCCTTGTTTGTTTTGGGATTGAACTTGGGGCTTGGGTGCTATCCCTGAGCTTCTTGTTTCTGCTCAAGGCAAACGCTCTAGCACTTTGAATCACAGTGCCACTTCTGGTTTTCTGGTGGTTCATTGGAGATGAGAGTCTCACGGACTTTCCTGCCCAGGCTGGCTTTGAACCACCATCCTCAGCTCTCAGCCTTCCAAGTAGCAAGGATGACAGGCGTGAGCCACCTCCGCCTGGCTCAGGCTGACTCTTTTTCCTTTTATTAACCCTTCCCTCCCCTTGGAGGTCTCTGATCTCATTGAGTTCCATCTGGGCTACTTCAGAGCTTGCTACCTTTCTGATAAGCTACAAATACTTTGCAACCAGGAAGAAGGAGGTGGAGGCCAAGGTCAGGGCCCCAGGACCAGGGAGAGGGATGGACTTACGCGAAAGATTTTCGCACTTTCCACCTGCCCTGGACCCCAATGGAGGAATCGGAGATGGAGAGACTCAGGCCCTGGCCGGGGAGGGGCTTCAGGGTGGAGTGTGGCAGCTCGCAGCTGTGGATCTCCAGGCTGTGGGTATGGATGTGAAGGGAGGCGTCAGGCCCAGCCTGCACCCCCCTCACCAGGGCCTCTGCTCCCTTTTCTGAGCCCCCGTGGGACTTGTTTCAGCAGCCACCTGACTCCTCAGACAGAAACCAGGCGCAAACAGCTCTGGTCCAGCTGTGAGCATGAAAAGGGGTGGTGAGAGGCTGTAGGTCTGATTGCCTTCCTACTTCCACTGTCTATTCTAAAAAGTGCGAGCTGCTTATATCTTGTGATTCCTCTGCGATAGCAATAGTGCCACCTCCTCTGGGAAGCCTTCCCTGATGTTTTCCGCACCCAGAAAACACAACACTAATAACTGAGCTAGTGTACTTCAACTTTCAGGCCCATCTATCCTTCTGGGCTATGTGCAGGGTGGATAGGTTGGGTCACAGACACCACCAAGTCCTTGCTAATCTTCTTGGATGATGAGCACAGGAGCTCGGTGCCTTTCCAGGATTTCCCTTCTAAACTCCTGCTGTCTGTCCCAAATGGATCCTAACCCAGTCCCTGGACTCTGCCTTGCTTGCCAGCGTCCCACCCGCCCCTGGCCCAGCCACCTGTGGAAGTCATAGTGTCCTCGGCCTATGGGGCGGATTTTGAAGTCTCCGGTGAAGTCCGGCAGGGTGATCTTGTGCAGGTCTCTCTGCAGGGCTAGCAGTCCCTCCTTGGCCGCTGCAGACAGGGGAAGGGCGGGAGTCAGCCTGGCCTGCCTGCCCCCTTCCCCCGCTCTAAACTCTCCAGGGGCTCCCACCCAGCCTAGTGTGCCCCTTTGGTTCTCCTGGTGTCCCTGTGATGGATGGACTGCCTTTATGAGCCCGACTAGGGGCTCATACCATTCAGAATACGGGACCAAGATGGCCAGCTTCGGGTGATTGGTTGTGCGGTTATGGGCGCAGGTGCATCGGGAAAGGGACAGAAGACAAGTATTCTGGATCTAGGGTTTGGATACAGACAGCAGGCAGTGGGCACTATTATTTCTCCTGAGGCTCCAGGGCCCCGGCACCTGCCACCTGCAGGGTGTTTGCACACAGGTGACCATGGGCCTCCCTTTTTGCCCCTTATAGTTTGCCTTCTTCTTTCTAGCAAATGAACACGAGAAGGTTGCTCTGGCTGGAATGCCATTCTTTGCTCTGGTGAATTCCTACAGCTGTTTTTGTTTGTTTGTTTGTTTTGTGTTGTTTTTGTTTTACCTCCTCTTGGAAGCCCTCCCTGATTCCCCTTTCTGTCCCTGGTCTGTCTGGGAATCCCACAGCCTTACCTACCTGAGGAGTATGACTGCTTTCTTCTAGAAAAGCAGCAGAAGTGCCACACGTGTGTCATATTTGGGGGTAGAAACACCACCCTTCCCTTCCCTTGTTCCTTGGGCAGGATGATTGAGAGGTTTTGTTTGAATATTTTGGGAAACAATAGTGCTACTTTTACCAGCTTTTTTTTTTTCTTGGTTGGGGGAAACCAGTATTGGAGTTTGAAATCAAGAGCCTCCCACGTTGCTGGCAAACATTCTACCTACCACCTGAGCCACACCCCCAGTCCCTTTCACTCTGGTTGCTTTTGAGATAGGGTCTTACCTTTCCCAGGCTGGCCTGACCACCCTCTTTCTATTTGATACTTCCCACTGTAGGTGGATGACAAGCATGAACCCTCACACCCAGCTCTTTTATTGGTGGGGAGGGGAGGGCCTTATGAAGTCTTTTTTTTTTAACCTGGCTGGATTTGAACTTCCATCTTACTGATTTCAGCTTCCCAAGTAGCTGGGATGACAGGTGTTAGCCACCAATGCCTGGCTTTTTTTTTTTTTCCCTTAGCCTACTTTTGCCTGCAGTCCTTGGACCCATTCTATAAAACTGAGCAGTCACTACATGGAGCATCTGATAGATATTATGTAGCTAAGTAATTAAAAAGAATTTGTGTGTATGTGCAAGTATTGAGGCTTTGGAACTCTCAGGCTTTGGAACCCTCAGTTGGCTTTTTTTTTTTTTTTTTAGTTCAAAGCTAGTGTTCTTGAGCATTTGAGCCATGCCTCTGCATCCAGCATTTTGTTATTTAAGAATCTCTTGAATTTGTCTGCTTGGGCTGACTTTGAACCTCAATCTTCAGGTCTCAGCTTCCCAAGGAGCTAGGCTTACAGGCATGAATTGACTGCACCACGCTAATAGGTGAACTGGTAAGTCCGTGTGAGTCCTATACAGGCTCTGCTTGGTCCCCTGAGCCCCTCCTGCCAGGAGGCTTAAAGTGTGTTTTCAAACTCCACCCCATGCCTGGGGTGACACTGAGGGGGTAGCATTGCCCCTGCTGGCCCCTCCTCCTCCTCACCTCCCCTGCCCCCTCCCTACTGGGCTTCCTGCATCCACTCCTGGGGGACCCCTGCCACCGCAGACAGGGTGTGAGCCACACGGCTGGGGGCACCTGGTCAGAAGGGGGTCTGTCTGTGCCCGTCGGTGCCCAGAGCAGCCTGGTGCCAGACCCTCAGGTCCAGCCCCCAGCAGGGCTTCTTACCATACTCCAGGCCCTTGCCGGTGATCCTGGCCACTAGGCCGGGGTTGGCACTCAGAGTCCCCGGGGTGACAGCCAGCAGCAGCCCCAGCAGAATGGGCAGCAGGGCCTCAGCATTCACTGAGGTCTCCATCCTGGATTGTCAGTGCGCTGGGCAGAAACTGTCTTGTGGTGGGCTGGACCTGGCTCCTTTAAATAGCCAAGCCTTGGGCAGGGCCGGTCATGAGGAAGGAAGGGGGGGGGGAGGGCAGCTGGGAGCAGAGCGGAAGAGGAGGCCCCACGGGCGGGAACTGGGCAACACCGTGGGGTCAGGGGTCAAGGCCAGCCTGGGCTACAAAGTGGGGGACCGTGTACCTTAAAGAATTTAGAATGACAGGCGGAGGGAGGGAAGAAAGCAGCCCTGTGACTCCTGGCAGGTTTAGGAAGGGGGCGTGGCCCAAGGCTGAACACCTGCTGCCTCCCCTGGAGATACCCCCCCCCAGACCCTGGGGGCAGATGGGGAAACTGAGGCTCTCTGTCAAGATCACAAGCCAGCACATGGCAGACCCAGGAGGAAAACCAGATGTGATGCATCCCAGCCCTGTCCTTCCTTTGTGCTGGGCACTTTCTCTGTCTCTGTCTCTCTGTCTCTGTCTCTCTCTTTCGCTCTCTCTGCCTGCTTTCCTTCCGAGGGAAAGCAGGCTGTCCTAAGCCTTACTGATGTTCTAATTTTCTGCAGGGCAGCCTGGCAAATCTTTAAACACTTAGTCCCCAAACAAAACAAAAGAAATAATACTAAGCAAGCAGCCACCACAGGCTCTTGACACAGCTGCCCACCCTGTGACCACAGGCTCTCCATGTGGAACTTGCCCCACAGTACGTAATCATGTCAGTGTGCAAACACATCCGGGCGCGCCGTGTGTGTGTGTGTGTGTGTGTGTGTGTGTGTGTGTGTGTGTGGACATGGGGACGGGCAGGGGAGGAACGAAGGCCACCCCAGGTCCTCCAGGCAGGGCCCCAGCTGCACTGATTGTGACACAGCCACTGAAAGTGACGGGACCAGGGCCATGCCTTTGGGAGTTGTTCTTGCCACAGCTACTTTTACTTCCTCTCCGTTGGCCGGGCTTTCTGGCTCTTCATTTCATTTGGGTTTCAAGGCAGAGTCTACCTGTGTAGCCCAAGCTGGCCTCAAACTCCTGGGTACTCTTGCCTCTGCCTCCAGAGACTACCTTCCAGATGTTAAGACTTTAGCTGCTAAGATGTTAGTGAGTGCTGATTGTTAAGTCATCTTGCCAGGATTTACAGAGCTGAGCACTTCTGGTGGTATTCAGATCTCACCAGGGCGTGCAAGGCCACCATTGGTCATCTGTGATTCAGGGAACCTGAAGCTGATAAACTGTTCTGAAGTCTAACTTGCGGAAAAGGACTATGTCTTGTCAAGTTCCAGAGGGGTGGCTCACCCCTGTAATCCTAGCTACTCAGGAGCTTGAGATGTGAGGATCATACTTCGAAGCTAGCCTGGGCAGGAACGTCTGTGAGACTCTTATCTCCAATTAGCCACCAACCAAAAGAGCCTGAAGTGGAGCTGCGGCTCTCAAGTTGTAGAGCGCTTGAGTGAAAAAGCTAAGGGACGTCACTTAACCTTGAGTTCAAGCCCCAAATAGTGGCATAATAAAAGAATTAAAAAGAAGAAAAAGAAAAGAAAAGAAAAACTGGCACTAGTGGATCATGCCTGTAATCCTAAGTCCAAACCCCAGTACCTGTTAAAGACTTGGCTAACATGCCCAAAGTCCTGACTTCAATATTCAGAATGGGGGTGGGAGGTGGGGTGAGGGGGTGGGGGGTAGGGAGGAGACAGAGAAACAGAGTGACAGAGAGACAGAGACAGAGAGACAGGGAGAGACAGAGACAGAAAGACAGAGACAGAGGCATACACAAAGAGAGACACGGAGAGACAGGAGAGAAAGAGTTATAATATTTATAATAGGGATTGTGTTTATTTTTCGAGTTTCCCCCGAGAAGTCCCTATATATGTGAGCTTTGTTTTGCCCTCTATCTCCAGGAAGTCTTCCCTGATTGCTTCATGTTTCCAGGTAGAGAGATAGGTACTTCTCTGAGCTCCCATAATGCCTTGCATCCTCCCTAGCATAGCATGCACCACTCTCTGATTCTCAGTGATTGTGCTCTTTTAGCGATGTGCCCACTCACTCTCTGCCTCTAATCCCATCAGCTGGCGGTGTCTTGGCCCAGTTCCCTTGGAACCGGGTGGGCTTGGTGGTCCCCACAGTCTGAGTGTGTTTGGAGACAGCGGCTTTGTGGTAGCTCAGCACAGGGAACTGTGCAGCCCGGGCCCCTCTGCCCCTCTGTCCTCACACTGGCTGAGGTTTGTGATGTCTCTGTCCAGCCCCTGACTCCTGCCCTGGGGCCTGCCTGCTCTAAGCAGCACCGAGCTGGGCAGGGTGAGCAGCTGGGGCCACAGGGAGTGTGGACTGACCACCTGCCACGTGCTGGGTACTGACCAATGCCTCATGCGGGGTACCAGGCTGGTTTAGCAGCATACGCCCTTCGTCCCTGCCACTGCCCTCTGAGTGAAGCAGCTTCTCTGAGAGTTTTGGGGTCTCAGGAGGGGGGGACATGAGCCACATGTGTCACCCAGCAGGGGTTCCATCCCACAGGCACAGCCAGGAAAGGTCTGTCTGGAAAGATGGCAATGCTAGGCTGGGCCCGGGGTGAGGATGAGCAGGTGGAAGAGCCAGTGCTGACAGGGCAGACCACAAGGGCAGCTTGTCCTTGGGTGTGTCCCCAGGGTCCTCCCTGGGGCCTCTGCTCCCCGGACGTCTGTCTATCCAGGGGAATGGCTGTGCCGTGCACCTGCCTTGTAAACCAGGGCTGGGCCTAGTGGGGACACGTCACTCTCCGGTGGCACTTTGAAGATCCAGGAGGGCGCTGTTTGCAGGGCTGTGGACCTCGGAAGCTCAGCTCTGGCTGGCTGGGTGCCACGTGCTCCCAGGCCTGGCCTCCACGCCCGCAGGCCGCCGCTCCTGCTAAGGTCACTGCTTCGGCAAGGCCACAGAAAGCAGGCTGACTGCAAGGCCCCGGGGCATCCGTTCCTCCACCAGGCTGGCCGCCATGGTCCCCAGGTGCGTGGCTGTTGGACTGCATCCTCTTTTCTAGGAAAAGTGTTAGGTTTTTAAAAAGAGGTAGCCGAGTAAGAACAGCACCAGGCACGTGGTATTCAGGTAAGGGGTAGGTTTATTCATCGTTCTGGCTGGCACCAGGCCATGTTGGCCCTACACTTGGCTGGGAAAAGGCCTGGGAAAGAGCTGGGAAAGAGAGCAGGGAAAGAGAGAGAGCTGGGAAAGAGCTGAGAAAGAGCATCTGGGCCTGGGCTAGGCCTTATCTAGGGTATGGGTGGAGAAAGGTGTGGCCACATTAAATTCAGATGTGACCTCAGCGGATGCAGATGTGACCTCTTCCAGGTGTGCCAGTTGCCTAGGTAATGCAGGTACTGGGTGGAGACTTTGCTGCGAGGAGGGTGGAGTCTGCTAGCCATCCAGGAGCGGACCTTACAAAAAGGACTCTCTTTTTCAACCATGGGCAGTGATCATTGAGTTCTGTCTGACCGCAAAAGTGCTTGTTTGAAAACCAAAAACCAAAAACCCAAAGTCTGGGGATGGGAGGGGAAAATGGGAAGTGAGTGGGGGAAGGGGTGACATTGTCCAAAAAGAAATGTACTCATGGGCTGGGAAGGTGGCTCAGTGGTATAGTGCTTGCCTTGCATGCATAAGGCCCTGGGCTCGATTCCTCAGCACCACATAAGCAAAAAGCAAAAAGCCGGAAGTGGCGCTGTGGCTCAAGTGGTAGAGCGCTAGCCTTGAGCTGAAGAGCTGAGGGACAGTACCCAGGCCCAGCCACGACTGGACCCAAAACAAAACAAAAACCAAAACAAAACAGAAATGTACTTTTTACTTCACTTATATAACTGTGACCCCTCTGTACATCACCTCTATAATAACAATACAAAATTTAAAAAAGAGAAAAAAAACCCAGAGTAAAACCCATAGTGAGGAAAGGAGGAACTTTAGAGTCTCTGAGGCTGATGATCTGAGCTTGAATCCCAGGACCCTGCTGGTTGACTGTGGGCACTCTCTGCCTCGGTTTCCCCATCAGTCATTGGGCTTTGTCAGAGTGCAGCGTGGTGCAAGGTTGGAGGTCAGGGCATTTGTCCCTGCTCCCTCACCTTGGAACACAGCTACTGCGGTGGCCTTGTTGTCTCTCCTTATCATCCTTCACTGTCACTTTCCAGCCCAGAAAATGAAGACCAGAGAATCACGTAAATGACCTCAGGTCACACAGCTGTTAAATGGCAGAGCTCAGATTTGAACCCAAGATGATGAACACCATTGCTCCTGCAGTATGCACATTTACCAACTCTACCAAGCAGCTAATCTCCAAGAGGAGGGCAAAACTTGCTCTCATCTTTTCAGAGGATAAAAGGAACAGGAAAGGCTAAGTGGCATTTGTAAGTCACACAGCCATGGAGGTGGGGGCTGGATTGGTTAGCAGTCAGGCTTTGAGCACCGATCCCAGTTCCCTTGGGTAGGCCACAGAGCCTCTCCAGACTCTTCTAGAAGAGGAGGGGTCTCCTGTGTACCTTTGGAGGTTGTTGTGAGAGTGACAGGGTGGGACCTTCACATCCACCAACGGGAAGTGGCACAATGGTGAAAGCCAGCAGAGACTCCCCATGATTGGCTGCCCTTCCAGCAGAGACTCCCCATGATTGGCTGCTCCTTCTCTCCCTACCCCAGGGGCCTCCCACCTATGTCATAAGTCAGTATTTCCAGTAAGAGCCCTGAGCAATGCTTACCCGAAGCGGGACAGGCTGTGCTGAGCAATCTGGTCATCTACCGTGGACAATCCTCCTTCCTTATGAATCTTTTACGACTTGATTGGCATCTATTTTACACACTGTCCGCAGTCTGGGCTTCTTAGTGTACAGAGTGATGTGGCCAAATGTCACGATCAGCTTTCCCATCATTTCTAACACCCAGATGTAGCCATGAGCATGGTATGGGTCACTGGGGGCATGCGATGGTCAGTCTGAAGGAGAAACTAGCTCCAATTGGTAGGCAACTTGTAGACAACTTGGCAGGT